AACTGCCACTGCTGTTGCTACTCTTGCCCCTCTCGGCATGGCGCACAGGTGATGCATCCTGCCTGGGGCGCCACGGCCTGCTGTTGTAGCCCTGCCTTGGCGGACGCTCCTCTTGCTGCCTGTCCCAGGGCTCACGACTGTGGGTGGAATGGAAATCCCCACTAGGATGCTGAGGCCACTGCCGGTGCTCCCTCTGGTTCTCTGATGGGGAGTCCCAGGGTCGCGACGTGCGAGCATCTCTTTGCGGGCGGGAGGAGTTGCTGCTGCCATGCAAGGAGGGGACAGGGTCGATGGGGGGACGTGTCGCTCTGCAATCCATGATCTCGGAGCCCAGGGAGGAGAGCATGCTGGAGTGCGGCACGGCCTGCCGCTGGTGGGAGGACAGGTTAAGGTTCTGGATTTCAGACTCCAGGTAGTCCAAGACGCCCTTGTTAGAAGAAAGCTGACCTTGTGGCTGCGCCAGTGGAATACTGCCCTGCAGAGACACGTCTGAAGGAGAGCACAGGACAATGCAGCAAGTCAAGGTAAAACAATGAAGAAAAGGCCTCTCTGAATAGGTAATCTTGGCTGAAAGCCTCCTAGGCATCTCTACTCCTCCTCTTCCTCACTGCAAATAGGCCTCTGCAAGAGCCATGCACATCTCGAGCACCATAGGCAGCACGTCCACACTGTGTAAGGTAAGGGGCAATCACAGTAACTGGTGAACTGCAGCATTATCTGTGTTTGAGCAGCATGGACATAAGAAATCGATCACTCAGCACATCAGGAAATCCAGCTAATATGCTTAGAAAGAGGAAGTTTTTTTTTTTTTTTTTTCCTGCAGCACTAGTGCTAAATTTCAGTTAAAAAAAAATCAGAACTTTTATAGTGTTCTGCTTTCCTGTTATATCTTGTTGAAATGGAAGCAATATGAGCCAATACTACAAAAGAAGAAAATTTTGTATATATAAATACACACACATATGTTCAGATTAAGCAGCAAATGAGGGCATTTCCTCACTAGAAAGCTGGTGTAGCACTGACAAAAGTACCCGAAGAGGTCATGGCATCCGTCCACAGAGATTTCCAAAACTCATTAGGCAAAGCAATGTTTGGCATGTTCTAGGTGGGTGACAGTCCTGCTTTGAGCAAGAGCTAAGACTTGATGGCCTTAGACGTCCCCCTTCTACCCAACATTTCTACAGTTTCAAAGCTGACCTTAAATAAATTTAGTGGAAACTTAAGCACAAAAGACTTGATAACTATGAAAGCACAAACTAAAAAGACTGCCTGAAGAACTTCCTCCTAGTATGCATACATGTCTTTAAGAAACCCATTTAAGTGTCTTAAATCATCGTGGCTCAGTCACCACATCTTCCTAAAGAGAAATGGTATCCTGGCTGGAAAAAATGGTAATTTTATAGAATTAACCAGCAGGCTGAAAAAGTGTATGTGCAAACACCTTGATTCTAGCATTCAATATGTTTGCAAACTATTTCTTCAAACAACCAGACACGGTATAAATCTGTGACTGCCAGATAGTGATGGAAAGATAATTTCAGATGGAAATTCACTACAAAAGTATATGGGAAATTCATTATGCTGAATTTCCCTACTTTTCTTGAACATTTAAAAATTATTATTCACTTTTTTTTATTTGATAATACTTATTTCTCTAGAACTTTAGATACTCCATCTTCCCTCCTCCAGTAAAGTCACAAATAAATGATACTACTGTAATGAAAATAACTAATTTTGGAAAGAAATATCTGGAAAATCCCTCCTGGTTCAATAATGAGCCTTTCATTCTTCACTGCATGCAGGACAGAGCTATTGCACAGAAGGCCGTTTGTCCTCAAACATATCAAGACTCGGCATTTGATAAGAAGTCAAACAAATTGCACTTCACTTGTCATATCAACTTTGGCTATAAGGAGTTGACCGTGACCAGCAGAGCAGAGCAAAGCGACAGTATCCTCCTCTAGCACAGGAAGCAAGATAAGCTGGATATATTTACCCTGCAGTCACTGTGGTGTAGCACAAATACATGCCACTTAGCATTATACCATTTTCCCCAGCACCAAGACTAGGAAGGCACTTAAGATATAGTATTTATCCACCCAGGTGAATCTAAAACATACTGCTGATACAACAGAGCCAACGTTCCTTTGATCTGGTGTTCACTGCTTTTTGCTTTTGTGGTAGAGAGGCTAAAGCCTCACTGCTTAACCCCTGTGAGAAGCGACCGTTTCTCATCTTGATTTCCCTCTGAAACGATGCCCATGGTCTCACCTCGTTGCAACAGAGGGTTGAGCAGGTAAGAAGAAAGTAGGGAATTCCCATCACCACCTTTGTAGAACATGTTAGGTGCCATCCAAGGCGCCAGCGCACGAGCCTGCTTCACGAAGTGATGCCGTTGCAGTGCTGGAAAAGAAGAGCGCTTAACAGCATCTGTCCCTGGACCCCAGCCAGCAGCACACACACAGCACTGTTTTGCTTGAAACATTGCATCTTTGGATGTGATCACTTATTAGAAAACAACAGAATGAAAAGCTCTCCATCCTACAGAGCAAGGGAGAGTTGCACAGCTTCACATGGATATCTAAAACAGAAGGGCTAGTGCCAGACATTCAGGTTACAGCTCCAGCAACTGGGATCTACTGGCACCAGGATGAAGCTCATAGCATATAACCAAATAGAAGACTTATTCGCACCTGTCCACCTGCCCCATCATTATGAGTACAGCTGTGGAAAGGTGGGAAATAATGTCTTATGCAGCAACATATACTACATTGCTTTCCTCCCCTTAAAACTCTTCCAGCTCTCCATCGGAGCTGTCATTTGGCTTCAACGTACAGCTAAACAAGACCTTTTTTGTGCCTTTCATGGAAGTTCTGTCCAGACTACATCTTCCATATCACAGTTAAAAGCCTCCACCTTTTCCTCCCTCTGACACAAATAAAGCACTCAGAGATGCACTGTCCAGCTTCTCCCTTGCCAATCCTTCACCCCCTCTTGCTATCTCTTTCTACTTATCTCTGTGTGAGTGCTAAAATTAAGTCCTTTAGGATAGCATGACCAAACCAGTGAACAAACTAAAATTCCTCAACAGCGATGTCCTGTGGACCAAGGGAGCAAACCCAATGGAAATTCCTCTCTTACTGGTTTCCTCCACTATGAACTTCAGATCCCTACTGGCAGGGTCAGGATCAAAGCCCACTTCCCTCTTTTGAAGCTTTTCCATATCACTTCCTCTTCAAAAACAACTCTGTCTGCAAAATTATCCCTCATTGCTGCTTCTTTTGGGTCTGTCTGCAAAATTATCTCTCATTGCTGCTTCTTTTTGGGGAATATCTAAAAGCATCACCTTACAGACACTTACTCCTTCTATCACAAATGATCAAAACTCCAGTTTATGAACAACTAAATTCTGAAAGCCCCAGACCTTACAAAACCTGGCTGTGCATGTCTGTCTGCTGTGTGAAGCTCTTCTGCTACTCAGGTCTTTGCAAGGTTGCTCCTACATGGCTTCTCTGGAGTCAGAAAAGAGGCAGGCTTTCACTGCCATGTTTTCTCATGTCAGGCACTAACAGAACTATACGGGGCTATAGGTTTCAGGAGACACACAGTAACATCTGACCTTTGAGATCTCTACGCATTGATAAATCTGGCTGAATTTGGCTGAAAGAATTAAAAACTATAGGACTGGAAGAGACAGGACAGTCAAACAGATTGTCTGCATAGACCTTGCTGCTTCTGCATAAACCAGGCTGCAGCTAAGCTCCAGTTAATTCTGCCTCCGGTGTTCATGTGCAGCAGGCAGTCTTCAGACGCTTTGGGACTGAGCCATTCCCTCCATTTCATGTAGCACTCCTGCTGTTAAGCAGGTCACATACATGTCCTCCTTTAGCTGTTTCACTGAATTTACATAGGCCAAAGTTTTCAGCAAAATAGGGAATGCCCTTGCATCCCACCACATCCTTTGCTTTCCCCACAGTTCAGGCAGCTCCTGTTCATTCTTCATTCCAAACTCTCCTGCCTTCTCCAGTCTGGCTCCAAACAGGCTGAAAATCAAAGTGGAAACTTCAGGGGTTTAATCCTAATACTGTGATTTTTCTTCAAAGCACTGTGGCCTAAGGTACCAGCTTTCAAGGGTTTTATGTCAAACTTGCCTTTTTAAAATTTTATTGATTTATCTTTAAGGGTTTCCCTTGAACTCAGGTTTTACTCTTAAAAGAAAGAGAGGAGGGAGAAAATGTAGAGAGAGAAAAACAAAGGAAATGCATTATTGAATCCTCTCCTGGTCCTCCCATTATCAGCTTGAGACTGTCCTACCTGCAGGTTCTACCTGATGAATGCACATCTCTAGCTTTTGAGATCCTCCCCAAGGAGCAGAAGGCACTACAGATTTCCTTCCTCAGGTTGTGAAGGCAGTCACTGTGACTTAAATCTTCACATCTCTGTGACTCTCTGTTCTCTCCTTACAGCTGGACTTCCTACATGCTCTCATCCTCCCTTCCTTCCCAGATAGCTTGTCTCCCGTTTGAACATCATACACCAAGCACTAAGCTCAGCACTCTGGTTGGATTCTCATCTGTAAAGAAAATGTATTATTATTTTTTTTAATTCTCAAAAAAAAATTGATTTGAAGAATGTCAGATTCCTCACAGTTCCAAAATTCATAACTGTTATCAGAGTTTGGGAGGATGCCTCATTGTTCCCCCCACACATTCCCCACTATGAAAGTTTGCTCTTCACCTTTGTCAGATTTTACAGTTGCTGGGCCAAATCCAATTATAGAAAAATTTATTTTGCAACCTAGTTCAGACTCATCTGCAAGTATATCCTATTTTGCACCAGTTCATTCATGGGAGAAGTGCACAGGAAGAAACCAGCTAATAAAAATATATATATATGTGTATATATATATATATGTATACATGTACACACAGGTGTGTGTGTACATTTTATATATATATATATATATATATATATATATATAAATGCTGTTTTTATCAGTGGACTTTTCTCAGAGCTTTCCATAGGGAAAGTAATTGGCTTGCCCTGGGGCATATATAATATTTCTGTAACGCCAACTCTAAATTATGCAAACAATTCTCGCCTTTTATTGCTAGCTTCACGACCATGCTAGCTAATGACCTGACTTTTAAAACACCCAGTGTTACCTCGCTCCAGTAGCATCTTTGCCCATTCAGCAGATCTAGGCTACCCTCTAGTGGCCAGTACCTGGGAAGGAATCAGGCACGTTCAGTTTGGACTCATTCTAACATTTAACCGAGGATTTATGCTGTTTGGTTGTGTAGAATGGTTATTCCTCAAAACTATTTTTTTTTAAAAGATACCTCCTGTCTCGATCTTTTTTTTGCTTTTTCAGATCTCCTGTTCCTTCCCTAGACGCCAAAAAAAATCTAGAGGCAGGGAGAAGTGAAGATGCACTAGACCCAGGCAACTGACACACAGATCCCTGGCAATGTGGATACAGGGCAGTAGGTGGGATGAAAATTACAGCCAGAGAATCTGGCAGCCAGTTAATGAGGCTGGACTGGTTTGTAACTTCTCTCATCAAAGGAAGAGTTTTGGGGAGCCTCACGAAAATCCTTCCTGCCTATCCTCAGTAGAAGGCAGTAAAGACAACAACAGTCTGGACTATGCTGTTATCTCCCATTACACAGAAAAACAACTAAAAAGAGCTTCTGAATGCTCCTTTGGTGAGAACCAGGGAGCCTGGATGAATGAGCCTTCTATTTCCATCACTTCTCTCTCCCTCAAAAAAACTGATTTTTCTGCCAAGTTTTCACAGCCTCCTTACCACCAAGCATTTCACTTGAGGGAGCAAAAAGTCTGTAGAAACTGTTTTGCTTGGTTTTGGTTTTAGCAAATGAGACAGATACTCTGTTCTCCCTCCAAAATAGCTAAGCAAAGTGAGCTTAAATCTAATACTTTCAAAGTAGGTTCTTGCAGCTTTTGCAGAAATAGCTAAGTGCACCAAGGTATACCACAAAACTCTTTCTAGGTAAAGAACACAAAAACTGCAGCTCCTGTTCACAGATTCTCTCCTTGCAGCATTTAGGAAGGACTGAGTGATTTCAGTGACCAGTAAATCTATTTGTTGCATTTGGTTCCTGTCAGAGCATGTAAGATACAGAGGTCTATTCCAGCTTGTGTCACTGCAGAACTACAAAGTTTCAGATACCAGAGCACAGAGGCTAAATAACCCCAATCGAGTGAACACCATTGCTATCCCTAGCTGGCCCTCCTAACAGAACAAGCACTGACTTCAGAATTTTTATTATTGATGAAAACTATGCACGACAACGTCCCTCTTGACCCTCAAAAAGTTAGAAAGCCTCTTTGCTTGTAGAAGGAATAGATCTAAAATACCCACAAGACAAAGTCTCAAACTTTGCACAGGTACCTCTCAGAGCAGCACAATTCAAGGCTAGGCCAGTTTGGAGAACAGCATGATGATACTGAGGACAAGGCATTCACTTGCCTCCCTCAGATGCACAAGCAGGAGAACCACGGAAGATAACTGTCTATTCATATGATGGGAGCGACCATGCCCTGGATAATGTGAGAGCGCTGGCAGCAAGCTCTAAGTGGGAAGAACTTCTAAAAGGAGTCCACAGGAACAGAGTGGGATCCACATATTGTAGCTCCCCTTCCCTATTAGATTACATGAAGGTTATATTGGCCAGAGAAAGGTCCAGTCTTGATGCTGAAGCTCAGGGAGTACCTGGAGCACAGCAAGCTGTGCGTCAGGCTTTTGCCTTGACAGAAGCCATGGCTGGACATGTATTTGCTCACACCTCACCTTCCTCATTGCAGCAGCACCTCCTTGGGCAGCAGGCGCACCGGATGTAACAGCAGCAGTGCTGTGGGCAGCACTGGCACCAGCACACTCCGATCAGCACGAGGAGGAGGAGCCCACCAAGGACAATAAGGAGTACGGTGAGCCAGTCTATGGGAGACACAGAGAAAGAGAGAGGATCCTGATGTACCAATAACCAGTAAGTTCTGAGCACCTCTCCACTCCAGGAGACATGTGGGGGTGGGAGGAGAAGGACAGGGCACACCCAGGGGACAGACGCCAGGCACTTACGGAGAACAATTAGCTTAACTTCTTTGTCCGGGTCGCCTGATGTGTCTCCCGGTGCTTCCACAGAGCAGTAGTACACACCATGGTCCCACCACATGACCTCGCTGATGACAAGGTCTGCCCCTGGAGGAGAGGGACACAGAGGTCAAGAGGCTCTTCAAGACTAGCGCTGCTTTCAGGCCTGTTCCTGGAGGTGAGACTGTGCTGCAACTCCCCTCCTTCAATGCAGAGTCACCATCGTCAGATGGAAACAACGTAGTCCCATTTTAGTCTATGGAGAACTCCTGTAAATGGCATTAACTGCTGATCACTTTTCTCTTTCGTGTTGCGGCAAAGCCACGTTACTTACAAGCGGGGCTAATCCTGCGTGGAAGGGAGTACCAGAGCACTGCTGGGTGATAGATTTTAGCAGAGATCTGCTGCTGCTGACTACCGACATTGGTTTCAGAGCACCGTCAACCCCATTGTCAACAAGACACCTCATTAACTCCATGAAAAAAACAGAAAACCACTGAAATGCATGTACTTTTCTAAGGTCACATTTTATAGTCTTCCGTACCTTCCTCTCCTCTTATCAAGAAATCATCTTGTTTTAGCATGGGAAGGAGATGAAGCAGAAAGGTTTCAAAAAATCACAACAAATAAAACAGAAAGAGAACAATTATACAATAAAAGAAACATGCCTAAGATGTTTACCACACTTAAGATGTAAAACAAGCTCACACCTTAAAGCTATTTCAGGTTAGGCCATGGCACACTGAATATGGGTTACCATACCAGGAGGTACATCCTCAACTCTGCCTTAGCTTGCAGCCTTGAACACTCTCAAACCATGGAAAGGGCACTTGGCTCCTGATGACTTTTACTTCATTGCAACCTCTCAGAATATGTAAGCTACAGGTGTTATTAGCCACGTTCATGTTTCTCTTCTCACTTAGTTACCTTAGTTACCAAGTCCATGGCCCGCTGAGAATTTGTGTCACTTACGGTTCTGAATGGTGATCTTTCGTTGGCGGTAATCGACGCCCAGCACAGGCTCATTCTGCCCGTACTTCTGGATGACAATGCGCACCTTTCGCTGGCTGTCATTGCAGTCATCAGATGGATCCTGACCAAGGGCTAACCCGGCCTGGTATGCTACAAACATCATCAAATCAGAGGCCAAGAGTTATTTCAAAGGTCCGGTTTCTATTCTCTTGTAAATAGTAGAGAAACTCTTAAACCTTTACATGCATCTATTTTGGTTTAGTAATAAGAACTGCAGTTTCAAAAGCCACTCTAGTGTTCTTAAAAGAAAGCAGAGCTACAGAACTGACAGATTTTGAGAACGCACAAGATGCAGAGATGGAGCCTGCACTTACAACTCAAAGCATGACAGTGGAAAGAAGCTGGTGATGACAGGCAGGAGGGTAGCTCCAAGGATGAAGACAAACAGCAAAGAAAAAAGTCACACAACTCATTAGCACTACTGAAGGAATATCAAAATTGTGTTTATTTCAAAACCAAATCTCTAGACACATATGAACTGCTGTAGGAATTGTCTACCTTTCCCACCTCTACCCCACTGCATGTTGTGTGGTTCATAAAGACAGAAAAGAACCATCACCTGATTCTACCTCAGGATTACATGCCGAACTTCAACAGAACTGATGGAAGATTAGGGGCAATTATTGTCCATTACTCTTATGAGAGACTTGCCTGTTGGTTCAGTGTTACATTGCACTGCATTTGTGAGATGAAATTAGGGGAGAAAATTCATACAAACACTCAAGATTGTCTTTACTGGGCTTGCAGTGGAGAGGGCAAAGCTCATTAAGAGTCTCCAAGCTATTCAATGTATTGAAGCACCATTTTAAACACCCCTCAAACAAGGCCACACACACTGGAATGTCTGCACAGAAGGTGCTACCGCTTACAGGTCTTTCTGCCCTCCAGAATGCACGTGTTTCTACTTCCTAAAACCAGTAACACCTAGTCCCTGGCCACTAGTTCTACTTATGAGCCCCTCATGAAATCATAAAATCCTTAAGTTGCAGGGCCTGTGTTTCCTGCTTTGGCAGAATGTAGGGCTGCCAAGTGTGACATGTGCCAAACACAGCAGAGCTCCCTGACTTCCAAGTTGAGGCCAAAGAGGACAGATGGGCTGCTTTGGAAAGGATTTTTATGATAGGGTGTCATAAAGCCTTGATGCTGCAAAAGAAGTGACAGTCATGCCCTCTTTTTCTTGGAGACCAGACCTGCTTCACCTGACCCGTGGGCAGAGAGAGGTCAAAAGCCTGTATTCCCCAGTAAGGCTCCTTCCCCCATGCTGTCATTTTAAGAGGAAATCCTTGGAGAACAAGCCTGACACTCACAGCTTGAGTAGTAGTCAAAGATGGGATCCTTGCAGAAGGATTTGAAGCGCCAGGTCACCACCACGTCCTGCAGCTGTGCAGAGGTGCTGTAGTCACACTTGAGGACCACAGTGGCAAACAAGGTGGTGTAACGCTCAACGTTCTGCACTGTCACCAGCAAGGAGAGGCAACCTGCAGACAAGAAGACAGTTGTCTGTCAGAAACAGACATCGCTTCACAGCTTTCAGCCCAGACCACACCAACAAATGAAGTAGGTCTCCCTTGGCGTCATAGAGAAATTGAGACCCAGAGACCTCACAGTGCTTGACAAATGGGGTGTGAAGGGATGTTTCACAGCCCCTCTGGCTACGCTGTGCAGAGACAGAACTCCTGGTTAGGATGCGAGTCCTCTCTCCCTAACAGGGCGCAGCTTGAGCTGTTCATGTGTCTTGAAGACTGAACCTTTTCCTCTGAAGCGGACATTATCAGTCACTGTGTAACACACTGCTCATATTCTGCTTCTGCTGGGTAGGACTGTCCCCCCCAGGCTGTGGGAGGGAACTCTTTGGGCCCAAAAGTGCACAGGATGGGACTGCCTTGCTTGGTCGTCCTAACCAGATCAGGTCTGCAGCGCCAGCTGTTCATACGATGATGAATACTGTCAATATCTTGCTAAGGTAGCCCTCAGAAGGCTACGATGACGACAATACTGCTTTTAGGTTTTAACATTCCAGTCCGATGAAGACAATACTGCTTTTAGGTTTTAACATTCCAGTCCTGCTTTAGAACAATACACATCAATTTCCTCTCCTCCTTTTTATTTCTTTCTTTCCATAAAGCTCTTGTTTTTCACCTTCTGATCACATCTATAACAGCTTTCACAGCATTTTCTATCCAGGCAGCCACATTCACCAACTAAGGTGTTACAGAGGTTCTCAGCTATACATGAGTTTAGCCACACTCCAGTGACACCTCTATCTTATTTAAACTTTGATAACACAATAAATTGTGCTTGTCATTAACAACAGCGAAGTTATCACTGGCTCCCCTCCGATAAGGCAGTGCAAACAGTGCGAAGCAAGAGTAGGATACACGGTCTGGAGTACACCTCAGAGCACAGGACAGTGTTTGCAGCGGTGTGGTAGAGTGGCCCTTAAGTGGGGTGCATGATAGTGGGAAAACACAAAAGGAAGTTTTGGAAGTGGGAAAGCACAAAAGGAAGGTTTGGAAGGTGCCAGTCAAAAAGGTCATCATGAACTAGCACTCATTTCCATTGCATCTTTAAAATCTTCCCTTCATTCCGTGTTTTTGGGATGACAGCAAAGGAACTGGGGCACTGCAGTAATATCTAGATCATATCTGCAAGCACCATTCTTTCAATGTCCTTTTAGGTTGAGTCTCCACAGTATTCTCCAGGCAAACATGATCTCTATCCATCCATAGTCTGTGCCAGGTGGAAACTCTATAGCTGCAGGGGTGCAACACAACCTTAACAAATAGTTCTGCCCTAGGATATATATACGTATGTGCATCAGTGCAGTACTGCTCAGTTCATAGTTTCAAACTCTCTTGACACACCAGCTTGAAGCATAGGTAGAGAAAACTCATCTGCCTGAAAAATGCCACACAGAGGAGCAAGCTAAACTTCGAATCGAAGGCTTTCCTGGAGAAAAAAAAAAAAAAAAAGGCTCTCGGTTTTCACAGTGCTATAGCAGGCAAGATCAAGACTGGTGACAGGTAGTTACAGTGGTTCTTATTCAACTACATGGCAGTTCAGCACATCTTGTTTCATCTGAGGCTTTCATTGTGAAACAGCTAAGTCACAGTATCTTACTGGAGGAAAGCACACAGAATGAACCCCAAATCCAAATGATCAAAAGATTGACAAAACCTTGATGCCATTGGCAAGCAATATGAATTTTGAACTGCCTAGCCTCATGAAAACTGAACAGATGTTCCATGGGTTTCCTATGGCGGCAGCTCTCAGACAAGAATAAAATACTCGAAAATCACCATGTGCTTCTCTCTTAAGAGAAAGCAAAGCTCTTTAGGAAAGCTACTCATTGTCATTACCTCTGTTATACAAAAGGGTGAGAGCTGAAAGACAAGTTCTCTTTCCTTTTAAAAGAGATTTAAAATCTACTGTTCCCACTGGATGGCAATCAGATGTCTCAGCACTTCTGATGTTTCATACTAACTCCTTGAACAAGATCACACAAGACAACTGAAAAGCTGTGAAAATAAGGAAAGCTCCTAAACTTGAACTGCATTCCTCTACCACCTTCTGCTGCCCTTCCTCTCTGCTTGGAAAGGATAATTCAAGCCTTACCAATCTAAGTTACCACTACCTCAGATCTGTACTGAAATGGCACAGACATTCAGACCAGGCGAGGCCCATTTTTAGCTTGTGAGAACATCGTGCAGGAATGTGGCTGCTTAGCAAGATAACCAACATGCACACCTCCCTATTGTTCTCCTCCCTATAGTGGCTCTCTGCAAGAAACTGATCTTTAGCATCTAAAGCTAAACCATCAGCAAGAAACCAGATATCCAAGACCACAGTGGTCAATTCCTAGAAGATAGGAGAAGCTGGAGGAAAAGAAACAACTCTGCTTGCTGAAGGCCGCCTGCAGGTGTCAAGAGAAGCTCCTTTTCCCATCCATATCTACTAAGAACCAGAGCACTGCAGCTACCCCAGGACTCAAAAGCAGCTGCCAGCAGCAAAAGCTGAGCGCTTGGGCCAAGCCGTTGGCGAGTCCTCAGGCTTCTTCCTGGTACTCAGGTTCAAACCTGCAGGCACGGCAGCAATACAGGAGGCTGCAGGGAAGCCGGAAACTCATCCCCCTGGCCTAGAAGAGGAAATCTCCTCCCATCAGCCTAGGAGAGAAAACCTGTCTGCCTCCACCTGGGAGAGGAAACCTTTTCCCCTCCACCGAGGAGAGGAACCCCCTTCCTGGGCACCTAGGAGGGCGGCCAGCACCCCCTCACCCCGGGGTGACTGCACCCCTGCGAGTATGTTCCCACACGCACCTCGGCTGCGCGCTCAGGAGCGCCCAGCTCCTCCACCCAGGGCCAGAGCACACTTTGAGGCAACGGGCCACAGACCCCCTCCCCCTCCGCCCCCAACCTGCCGCGAGGAC